CTCTCGCCTCTTCCACATCCATATACCTATGCATACATGCTCGTCGGTTAAGGGTACTCTTAATTTGGCCCATTTTTAGTATATCGCCAATTTGGTCGACAAACTTCCGCCTAGGACGTCCCTTTCCGACTCTTAATTTTTATATTTTTTTATTATATTTATTTATTTATTTTTAATATTATAATTCAAAAAATTATAATATTAAAATTAACCCAGTCTTGGTCTTAATAATAGAAATGGAAATATTTATTTCAAGCGTATGCTTAGGTAGTCATTTTGAAAATTACTAAAGAGACCTTATTGAAAGCATTGTAAGATGTAACTTTTGTATGTTTTTGCTAAAGTATTTGTACAGTTAAAGCACTTTAATTTAAACTCTTTTACATAATGGAATTTTCAAACAGTAACTAAAGTCAGAAATTTAAATACATAAATACAGACATTACAGCTGAATTAAAACTCTAGGCACACTACATGCAATAAATTCTTCCGATGACTCACTTTATTTTCCTTTTGTTATAATTTTGGTTAAAATAATTTACAAAAAATATTTCTTTGATTTTGTAGTACTAAACAGCATGGTCGGGTCATCTGATGGTGACTACCGACACCCATTACCAACTGCAACACAAGTTAAGTGCAGGTGCGTGATCAAATCGTCATTCGTGTCTGCTTCTTAATTAATTGTATAATATTACATGTAGGTCCTCACTAGAACATTTCTTTTTGTTCTTCTTTTTCATCAGCAAATGAAATTCCCCACATGAGTCCCCATTTAGGATTTAGAGGACTTGCCTTTTACTGGTAGCTATTAAATATACTTATATACAAAGCAAATTTTTTGAAATTTCGTAGCCATCATATCTATTTTATGTTGAGTTCTTATTCTATGTTAAACGTCAAGTCGTTAATGTTAAAATAATAAAGTGTGAGAGCAAATGTTGAACTTGGTGTTTTGCTGGTGTAATTACTCATCAACAACAATAAAACAGCGTAACGTAGTACACATTTAGAGTACACAATCACAATTTATCAATTCCTTAATACATGCCAGTCACAATTACACATCAAAATAGGAAAACTTACAGCAACAGCGTGTATCATTATGTAATTTTACAAGAACAGAATCACAGTAAACAAAACAATCGGATTGAATGACTTAGACAGAAACACTATCACGCTGCCTGTTTCGCTTCATTACTTTACTTAACTTTATCCATTGAATTATACAAATCAATGAATATATGAATCAATGACTTTATACTCCTCAAATCAATAGTCGTTTCAAGTTCTACCCTCACTTTTATTTAAACTAGTAAAGTTAAATTGCCTTTTGTATCGTCACATGGCTTAGCACCGATCTACCCTCATTTCTGAGATGGTTTTAGGGCGAGGATATATCCTACCTCAGATTTAATAGACCACAATCCTCGCTAAAAACACCGATTCCTTTCAAGGAAGATTCGCAATCCTAATCCTAATTTTAATACAGAAGATGGCTTGGTGCTACCTACCTACTACTGTATTTAGTTGGGATCCTATAATTTATAAAATTAAATCTCAACCCAAGAATACAAGATTTCAATATGCTCTAAGTCCATACTGTTTAGATCGAAATAAAAATTAATAATTTTAATCCATTGGTAAACGCGGTTAACTATGACATCGGGACGTCGAACACCTCACTCCCCCGCCCGTGACCATGGGTATTACAAAGTGCTCGAAAAGTCAGAAATATAAAAAAGTTAATAAATAAATAAATTATAAAAAGTATTTATTTGCCACACAAAAACACAAAATTAAAATTTAAATAGAGAGCTTAATAATTAGTTGTGACAAAACGGTCTGTGACTCAGTTGTAACGGGAAACCCATTTTTTTTCGGAATTTCATTTCGGAAAACCCACTCCTGCTATTCTGCCACAGCCTTTCCGCATAATTCATAAAGGGTCTTAGGCAATTGATGAAACACACGTATCAACAATAAAAAGTAAAGATAAAAATAAAAATAAAACAATTAATGAATTATAGTTGCTAAATACAAAAAAAAATCGTCTAATTAGAGGGGGTATTAAAGCCACATATAAATAATATAGGTACGCTATAAAATACGTAAAAACTGTTTTATTTAAACAAGGAATTATCCGCCGCGCTGTCCTAATCCGTTTTGGTATTTAAGTATAATATATAAGCTTATGAATACTCTAAGGTTTTGGCGGACTTTATATGTCTAAGAAATATTTTTATCTTCTCAGACATACAAGTTTTCTCACGGTAATTTCTTTCACCACCAAGCGTGTGGTAAATCAGTACTTAAAATCGCAATTAACAATTTCATTGGTGCGGTCGGGAATTGAACACGGGCTACCACGGCTCTCTATTGTTTATTTTAGTCTTGATTGCACCAAATATATTGCACAAAAGGCGAGCTTAATGCTATAGCAGAACAGAGAGTAAATTATTTACCCAATATATTGTTTATTATTATCATAACAGCCTAAAAAATACGCTGCTGAACACAGACCTCCCCCATAAAATGCATCATATTTTGCCATAGTTGCCACGCTTAGCAGGCGATTTGGCAACCGCAGCTTTTATAATTTTGAGTTGATATCCGGGAGATTCTGCTACCCATATCCGGTTTCAGTTTCCTTCTGTCTCTAACGACACCCATGGGACGATAAGGGGTAGTGGACATTATTACAGCACCACTATACGGATATGTTTTTATTTAAAAATTTATAATATAAAATTGTTTCAGAAAAGTGTTGTTTTTGGTGTCAGTAAAGATATCATTAATAAACTTTTACGTTTATATTAATCGCAGTTTTATGTAAATATTATAATATAAATTTACGTAAAGCTACGAGTCTCACAAATGTTCTTGTCGCCTAAACGATTTAGTTCTAATTCAATAAGAACCATTTATCAGTTAAAATAATCGCTATACTATAGCACATTTACTGACTGGATATCTGCCAAGCCATTGCAGTGTGCGAGAAGCGGATGATGTGGTTTCCTTTATGCCTCACGCTTCATTGGAATTAACAATTTCCCATACTACAGTAAGCATGATAAGCGACGTATCTGTCACATGCAAAAACATTTTTCTGAAAATCATTCTGAATGAATAAATAAAAATATTAAACATATTCATCGTCACCAATACTTGTTATTACAAAAAAAGAAAAAGAAATATTATGCTACCCAAATCTTAGCGTTAAGAGACTATCACATTAAATAACCGTTATCGTATCACATTAACACAGGCTCGAAGCATGTAATGCTTCAGCTGCTTTTATCATTTTATAAAAGTATGAATAACAAATAAGGCCATACCTAAGAGTAATTGGATAATGTGATCCATAAGCACTTACATTAAGGGTTGGCAACTATTTTATATTAAATATAGCATTTCTGAGATTATTACCTGTAGAAATATATAATAGTAGAATAACTATATGTATATACCTGTAAAAATATATAATAGGAGAACAAAATGTTGGCAATGGACTACAGTAGACACTTCCACATATTAATATAAAGCAGAAACTTATGAGAGCTACGTGGTAGAGCCACACTGTAGCGTAATATGGCTATATCTTATTCCTCAAAGGTGACAACGCATCTGCTTTCTTTGTTTAATCGAGGATATATCCACTTTATATTATCAACGTTGATTCTTTAAAAATACAGATCAGGCCATAAAAATCAAAATTTGTACATAAAAACCATTGTAGAAAAATAAAAATGTATTAATTTGTATTTGTTGTAAATGTTTTGACATGTGTTATTCAAAAATTTGAATACAGTTCTCACATATACTTAAAACCCGTAATTTATCTCTAAAGAAATTTTTACCGAGTTCAAAAACCGAGGAAGACTTACAACGCGTATGACTTCTATATTTAAAGTATAACCTGGTTTTTCTATGTTCTTCAATATTTGAACAAAAGTAGTGGATGAAAAAACTGAATGTCAACCGACCAATTTTAAATTTTTATTTATATGGATTTTTCGTAATATAATTTCGTGTACCTTAAAATTAATCTATTAGTCCAAAAAGTTTCGTTACAGCTATTAAATTTTGTAAACGTTTGATAAATTAAAAACAAAAAAATTAAATAAATACTTACCTTATATTTTGTAAAATAATTCTAGAATATTTTAAAATAGTACTTTAAACGCGATATAATTGTGTCCTTGCAACTTTTATCTTAAAAGTGAACTTCACGGTATGCTCTCCTCATTGACGAATGTTACTTTGATGACTGAGACTGAGATGACTGAGAGACCTGACGTTGTAAGTATGGGTAAAACTTTATAGTAACGCGTTATTTGACGAATTTGAAAAGAGAATTGATGTGATATGTATTATATTTCTTTTACTACTAATATCTCTGTCACAACAAAACCATTGAATACTTTACACTATAATGTCCCATATTTTTTATGCCCTATCCATTCAAGTAGTTGAGCCACTTTGCAGTTATATTATGGTTCTAGCACGAATGGGCCAGCTCGAGCGGGGAAAAACCACGCATACGTAGAATACCAGTGTAAGAAAGCAAACTGCTACTGTTTTTCGTGTGATGAGTGTAGAGAACCATAGAGCTTTTGAATGGAAAAGATGCATTACATCTTAGTCTTCAAGGTTGACAACGCATATGCATTTTGATTCTTAATTGGAGATAGATGTAGATATCTATGAGCCACAGCATTTACTTACGATCAGAAGGACTATTTGCTCGGTTTTCACTCTTATACTATAAACAATCCTTGGGAGCAGGTCTATGTTCCTCCTATGTTTTTGATGATGATAATGTCGTTAAATTGAAGTCGTAATATTTATGGCACAAGCACAAGTCAATACTTTAGTGTTTCTATGAAGTCGGTATAAATTATATACCCCGTTTAGCAATATCGTTTTCTTAAAATGTTAAATAAAAAATATATACTTTAGAAATTTGATATATTAGCGTTGATGAAATTTATACTTACCGCATAAAGTTATGAGTGGAAAAATCTTCATTTTCAGTTTTTATATTTTCTTCTCCGTTACATAATACTTCTGTGGTATTTCACATGCACCTTCTTCCATATATTTAAAAGGAGCTTTCTCATCACAGCAGATACATCACTCTTAAGTTTAAATATTAATAGTGTTCACTTTTTCACTGTCATTTTCTATGTAAATAAATACCAAAAATATGGAAAGTAGTAAAATAAGCTTTTATTTAATTTGCTCATTAAAACATATCCCAATACTATTTATTTAATCTTTACTTGTCACCGATCACGCTCGTATTCTAAAACAGAATGGGCAGCGCGGCCGTGACGTACTCTTCGTATGAGAAACGTCCGCCGAATGTCCTTGGATTTCCCGCTAGGGTTGCGTCATGCGCAGTACGGACTATGAAAAGGGTCCTTAGTGGATTAAGTTTTAAAATTTTGACAATTGATAAAATGAGATCGAGTTTGTTAAGGTAGAAAGCGTTAGGTAAGTGGAAAGTTGCATGTAAAGTTTTTCCTTCTACTTCAATACCGCATTTTAAACATTACTAGCGATCCGCCCCGGCTTCGCACAGTTGACTTCTTGATCTTAACAATAGCGCCATCTAAGGGGTCCAGTTGAGTATTTAAACCATCCAGATACTCCATCCCATACTCAAATACACACAAAAATTCATTAAATTTGTTCGAGTTTAAACGAGACTAATGGATAGCAATTGATTATCGTATATAAGAATAAACACATCAACAGAATCTAGGGATATTTTATATTTCATAAAATATCTAAAAATCTATGAACAGAAACAGAAACAGAAACTTTTTTTTTCAATGTAAATTATAACACTATACTTAATGAAAGTCAATTTTTTTCATTTACCACTGGTTCGCAAAAAAAAAAGCTTCTGTCCTGGGAAGAAACAGCAAGAAACCCAGCGGGTCTATTTTTTTTTTCAAATAATAGCTTACAATCATGTTTACAATTAACAAATTAACAAGACAAATTAGAAATAGCTTGGTAGCTATCACCCTTCCCAGGGGTTATTATCATCCATAAATTCCTTAATATTATAATAACCCTTTTTTATACAAACTTAACAATTTTCTGATATAGTAAATGGAAGAATGATAGGTTATTTAAAGATTTCTAATAAAAAATATAAACTTTTCGTTTTTTAAAAAATAAAAATGGTGATTTTTTAATCGCCGTAGAAAATTAGTATGATAAAAAATATCATTTCTTCTTAAAAAACTATTAATTTTAATTAAAATTGATAAAAATCCTCTAAAATATTCTATATGATTATTAATAATCAGTGTTAACATCTCTTACATTAACTACACATCGACATTGATTGCTTATACTTAAAATTAAATCGTCAATGTAATGCTGCCGTATGGGGTCCCATGTTCTTTGCAAGTGTTCATAAAGTTGTTTCGTCGTCAAATTTGGCGGAATATCTCTCAAAGCTTTTCGTTGTAATATGTCCTAGGCATGTTCGATGGGATGGGTCGGGTGACTGTGCAAGCAAATACAAAACTTAAATATCGTGGTCTTGGAGAGCGACCAACACCAGCAGCACAGTATGGGAAGGAGCATTATCGTGCATGAGTAGAAATTTCTGGCCCATTTGGATTCTGTGTGGGTGTAACGCGATATCTAATCGTGTACCATTCAGCCACATCCCCAGTACTGCGATAACGTGACCACAACTTTGATATCACGATTTGGCTGGTGTGTCCATGCACACGGTTCGTAACATTTCTTGTCGACGCAAATGACGACGTGACATGCCTCTTAAAGCTCACACGGCACATTAAATAAAAAAAAAACGTAACACAATATAATCCCTTTTTATTAACTATATTATATAATATCAGTAGAACGATTTCAATTTTCCTTGACGTAACGAATCACTAACAATTTTGCCGTCGTATTTTGTTTTTTCTTTTGCTTTTTTTGTTTACATTTTTAAAATTTGAAATTAGAATAAAAGAGGTTTCAATCTGTATATAAACGTTTTATGGAAACTAAAAAGATTTGAAATTATGAAATCGTAAATAATTAAGGATTATTGTATCCCTAGATTTTATTGATATGTTTATATATAAGAGATTTTCAACTATGTACTGACTCATCACAATATCTCTGGAGCCATAAGACCTGGCGAAAATACATTTTTAAACTATAATGGCTCTTATATGTATAAAAATTAGCCAGAATATTCTTTTTGGCTTGTTAAAAATTACCGAGAACGGATTTTAGGAAATTCCAACAGGGCAGTGCGGGGACGTTAAAAATAAAAATAAAACTTTTAATTCTTAATTGCTACAGGTTTGAAATTTGGCGGAATTATTATTTTTGTCATTTTGAGTTCAACTGAGAACGAATTTTACGGAATTCCACTAAAACACAAAATATTAATTATATTTCGAGCTATAATGAATAATAAAATTAATCTTTACAATTTTTTGTGTGTATTTGAGTGGATTCCAAGATGGTTTAAAATTATTATTATAGTCATAAATATTTTTTCCAACCTACCTGGCTAGCGTAATATTTATGGCAAATATTCCTCCTGTGAGAAAATATTGGGAAGGTCTGAATTAATAAATAATTAAATATTATAAAGGCTAGTTTTATTATTAATTATGCTTTCAATTATGTAAGATAATTTTATGAGTTTTATTTTTTTTTTGCTTCAAGAGTGAAGATTCTCTATGGCTCTGCTGCACGTGCGTATAAATCTATAACATAGGGTTGGATGTGAATGGAACGAGTAAACCACTTTCCTTCTTTTTATCGGATTACGAGTAAACATACTATAGAAGCACATCGTTAGCAATTTATTGAGAGTTTGGGATGGTGGCCGTTCAGGTTTTTGAAATTCAAAAAAGTTGCCATGCTACAACAGATTGTTCACTCCCCTAGAGTGCAATCTTTACCTTCGATCTGCCAGACGATATTTTAGAAATATTGTTACGCGCCTTAGTCGAAGGCACTAGCGCCTAGTTGAAACTCGAACTCTCGGTACTTTGCGCGTGTTTACTTGAATATTCTGGATATTTCCGTGCAAATTTATATAAATAGGCGCTGCAAGATGCGATCGAGGAAGTATTGAATTCGGCGAGACAAGCGAAGCTTCGGAGCGAAATAAAGTGAATTAGTGTGATTAATTGTTAGTGTTTTAAGTTTTAATTTGTGTAAAGAGAATTAAAGTGTTAATTTAGGTAATTTTATCGGCAATTTTTATTATCACGAACCTCAAGCTCGTAACATTTGGTGTCAGAAGTGGGATAAAATCATGCCGATTTTACCTAAGGAGGAAACATAGGGTGTCCGTACCCGAAGTCAACGCCAGCAGGAGACGGACTAAAGAAGATTTGGTGGTGCAACGCCGCAAACGTCGGAGGGCCAGCCGCCGGCTGCAGGCCCGTCAGTAGCTCCTACATCTGCAGCACCTGACTTAGGTGCTCTGATGGTGATGCTGCAGGAGCAGGCTCGCCGACAGGAGGAACAGGTCCGTCGTTTGGAAGAGCAGCTGCGGGTCGGACAGGAGGAACAGGCCCGTCGTTTGGAAGAGCAGCTACGAGGCGGACAGGAGGAACAGGCCCGCCGATTGGAAGAGCAGCTGCGGGGCGGACAGGAGGAACAGGCCCACCGGCAGGAGGAACAGGCCCGCCGGCAGGAGGAACAGGCCCGTCGTTTGGAAGAGCAACTCCAACGCGATAAGGAAGAGTAGATGCTCCTCATGAAGGACATTCACGCTATCTTCGGAAAAGAGATATGGGAGGTGAAGGATAAGGTTGCTCAACATGACAACCACCTGTCGGAGGCCGAAACCCGAATCGACCAAGTAAACAATCGGGTTGAAAACGTAATGGCTGACGTGAAGAAAACGCTGGACGACCTCAAACTTGGGGATGGAACAACAGCTCCCGTAGTAGCTACAACACCTTCGCTGCGTAGATTCAAAGTGCCGCCATTCGACGGGACCTCTTCCTGGTCGGCCTACAAAATCCAGTTCGAGGCCGTCATGGAGGCGAACGGCTGGAATAAAAGCCAAGCCATAACTGCACTCACCCTAGGCCTGCGCGACCAAGCCTTAACTGTGTTGGAAGCTCTCGGTAAGAAAGTGACCTACGAGCAGCTTCTTGAGGCCTTGGAGGCGAGATATGGCGACGCTCACCTGGAACACGTCTTTCGCGTGACGACGACTACGACGAAAGACGTGTGACGTGAAAACCTGTAGCAGCGGGCCCTTGAGGTGGAGAAGATGGTTCGAAAAGCATACCAGTCTTTACCTGCGCTCATTGAAGGGAACCTGGTTCAGACATTCATCGACGGCATCCGTGACCTTGAAGTCAGAGCTGCTGTGAGACTCGGGCACCACGACACAATTAAGGATGCCTTAGCCCATGCACTGGAGGTGGAAGTCGTGCGGCAGGATCATCGTTCCCATCGCATCAGGGAGGTTGCAGCAGCTACAGTACGCGACTGCAACAAAGGATACAGCCCTAGGTGCTATTGCTGTGGGGAAAAGGGCCATCTTCGATCCAGTTGCCCTAAGCGAACCCTAGAAAGGGAAGGTGAACGACCTCAGGAGGGTAGTGCGGCCAACAGAACCGCCCAGCAGCAGCAGGGAAACGAGTAAAAGCTAGAACTGCGGGGCGGGTGCTGGCTGATGTTAAAAGAGCCCCAAGGATCTCGATCTCACAAACCCATGATGGGAACAGTCTAATCATCAAGGGCGAGGTCAACGGAACGCCGTGTAAACTGACCATAGACACTGGAGCCTCTCGTACGGTTGTTAGTTCCCAACTTATAAGTCAGTTCCTTAGGGACTCCGCATACAACCGAGAACGCATTAATTTGGTAACAGCCACCGGTCAGCGTATACCCGTCCGTGGAGAGAAGGAGATGGAGTTGAAACTAGGCAACGTGATCTACCTGCATAATGTCATTGTAGCTGATATAATGGACGACTGCATCCTTGGCCCAGACTTTATGAGGAATAATTG